TTATTATATAACCTATTATTATATAACCTATTATTATATAACCTATTATTATATAACCTATTATTATATAACCTATTATTATATAACCTATTATTATATAACCTATTATTATATAACCTATTATTATATAACCTATTATTATATAACCTATTATTATATAACCTATTATTATATAACCTATTATTATATAACCTATTATTATATAACCTATTATTATATAACCTATTATTATATAACCTATTATTATATAACCTATTATTATATAACCTATTATTATATAACCTATTATTATATAACCTATTATTATATAACCTATTATTATATAACCTATTATTATATAACCTATTATTATATAACCTATTATTATATAACCTATTATTATATAACCTATTATTATATAACCTATTATTATATAACCTACTTTGATGAAAGAAAGCGAAAGCGGAAATTTCAGACATCATCAAGGTCAAAGTAGGAGTAAATTATGTCAGAATTAGACCTATTTTGCTATCTTAGCTCCTACACTGCGGTGTAGAATTCAAGATTCAACATAGGGTCAAAATTTCGACTCGGGATATAGCAAAAAATCTGTATCCATTAAAAAGTGATATACTCAAGTTGATTTATGTATAAGCAACGATGTGCAATTTCGCTCCTTCCTCAAATTCTTACAATCAGAAAAACTTTAAAGTCCTGAATCTTAACACAATAATATAATTTTGTTGGAATATTAATAGTCTCATAATAAGTGCAATATAATTATTTTGGTAATAATAATACCTTCTTTCGACATTTCTAGAAACATTATATTCTCAACCCAATATCTGGTGCTTTTCATTAATGAAAATGATTCCTGAGTGATAAAAGCACAAATATTTTCCTCGTATCTCATACAAATCGTATAAAATATACGCTTGCACGTAGCTTATTTCCGTTTAACGCGATCCCATTTGAAGATTAACGTGACAAAAATGAGGACAAGCAAGAATGTTCCTCCTTTTTGTATATGGAATATACAATATTATCCGAATGTGTTATATTAGAGGGAGACGATATGCTCTACATTTTTATTTCGGAACATTACCCGATATTTCGTTCTCCACGATGCGGTGAGATGGAGCATATGGAATAACGTCTCGAATAAAAAGCGGAGCTTTTTGCGCAGTTTGAAGGAGAGAGAGAAAGAGAAGAGAAGAAAGTAGAAATGATACAATTTACCCTGTCCGAACGGGCTGTTTCTGGCTTAATTTGAGGAAGTATATACGTCGGAAAAAGGGGCGAGCAAAAAAGCGGAAGAGGCGCCATTTCCGCGGATCCAGATGTTGCCAAGCAGCAGTAACGAATCTAAAAGGAAACAGCAAAAGCGAGACTCGGCGAATGAATCATTGTGCCAGATCGTGAACGTTACAACGCTAACATCCGTGCAAACGTCTCTCATTCTCTCCCTTTCCTTTAATTATTTAATTTATATCAACCTCGCGATTGGAAAAGGCAAAAAGAAAAAAAAAGAGACGAACCAGCACGCGCGCTGAGAATTAATTGCAAATTTATCGACTTTGTCGGGAATAGAGCCGACGAGGGCGACGGCCACGGACATTTTGTTAATGCTTAACACGCGGATTGATGTGAATATTATATGAACGATATATTAATAAAGCTTAAAGCAAACTAATGTTGTAATTTTAATGCGCGCAGATAAGCTTCGCTCGCGCGCAAACGGCATAAACGGCACGATGTGATGTAACAAAACCGCGACTGAGCAAAGCAAACCCCGCGATGGGAACAAACAGATCTTCAACGACCCGTATGGAAATTTCCCAAACGTTCCCAAGTGTAACACAGTTCCCGATCAGATTATCCAAACTAGTTACAAATAGTATTGCATCGTATTGCGAGACCAATTGGAAGCTTTATTCTTATTCCAGCTGTGGAACATTTTCTGGTGTTTAATTGGGATCTATTTCGATTTCCTGAATAAATGAAGTTTTAATTTTGAGGGAGAGAACTGAAGAAAGAGAGCAAATGAAAAAGTTGCGTAGAAAGAGTAGAAGGAAGAGAAGATGTATGGATAACAAGTAATAATAAATAATAATTAGTTCTTTCGCAATTATGATATTCATAGAAATATAAGGGCGGTTTTTTTTTAATATATGCTGCTTTTAATATATTACTGCTATATTTGTACAATTACCCTGACTGTTAATTGTAAATAATTAAAATACATCTGAACGTGTAACGTGACGTTAAAGTTTTATGTTTGAAGCGAAAATGTAATATACGTTGTTTTATTCAAGACATTGATATAATTTATTTCAAAAGGAGATTGAGAGAGTGAAATAGTTAATGCAGTTTGAGTATTCATGCTCTTTAAATATTTATATGTGTAAAATGTGCGCGACAATATTCAAAGCGTTTCAAATATTTTGTTCAATATTAATGAAATAGAAATTGGAAAATAAAAGCAAACTTTGAGAAAATGTTCGATAGAGAAATTGAAATCTGTTTGACTTTCCTGCTTAAAATCGCATTTTGAAAACATTACACTTTTAAACTGAATCCTCGTAGATTTTCTAATCAGAACCCATTCTACGTGGATAGTAGAAAAAATATGCGACTTAATACAAAGATAGCGCGAATTTGGCCAAATCTGTATTATTATATTTTAGAATCATCTTCTATTAGGTTAAATATAATAGTATAGAATGATTTGTTAATTAGTTTTTGTTTGATAGTATGTCAACGCCTCGAGTGCCTCTGCGTTTATTGTTTTGACTGTTATTTTGCTTTTAGAGTGAAGTAGGTTGCGTTCGAGGAGACGCTATTTAACGCTATGAGTGTGCTCTGTTCTTGTTTGTTCCTGAAAGTTGAACAAGGGCAAAGGACGCTCATAGCATTAAATAACGTCTCCCCGAACGCAGCCGTAGTAGACCCAGGTTTCATGGAGAATTATAAATCTGCGAAATCATGTCAAAGAGTGCGAGAAACAATGGAACTGTTCAGTTTAGTCTTCGTTGGTGTGACACAGAACTCGCAGAGTTCAGATTGCATAAACATGATAGAGGCAACCTTCTTCTATATATTAATGCCCACCCCCCTTCCCCTCACCATAATCCTATTAACTATATATTTTACTTTTTAATAATTAAAATACAAATATCTAATAACGTGGCTTGTTCTGGTATTTGGTTTAGTTGTCCAGTAGCGCAGGCTAAGAAGGCCACTTATAAAATATGTATCCTGATTAGTAGTTTCAGAGTCTCTGTGAGAGATCTCCATTGCCCTCTTGACTCTTAATCATAAGCCAACCTCATCCTCTCTCTCTATTTCAATCATTTTATGAATGAAAATTGCATGTATTACTAGGAATAATATATCATACACTTGCAAGAAATCTCATTCCAGTTATTAATACATTACTTAATTTTATCTAGTCACGATGAAGAATAGAAAATTTTAAGAGACTCAAAAATTTATTCTGCTATTATCTCAAATTAGTTTTCTCTTTCTTTTAACTGTAATATTATTCTCTGCTTCTTTACTTCTTAACTGTAATATTATTCCGATTTTAGTGAAACTCAGGGAAAAGTATTTATGTCCTGAAAGGATCATTTTGCGATTTTATTAAATATTAAAATAAAGTATATGAGCAACATATTTTTGGGACTATTTAGCCCCGATCTCCTCTGCTCTTCGCGTTACTTCTGTACTAGGCCGCGTACTTTTCGGACGAGCCACGCATTTTTGGAAAATCGGAATGGATTCCATTTAGATCCCAGAAAATTTCCCACGTACGGAGAAGACGTCGATTATCGCGCAATGGGGAACTCGCGTCTCTTGCTTCGCGAAATTATCCCCTTGCGAGCGAAATCGTGCGCTTAACAGCGTCTCGTGGTTGCAGGACGGGAAACAGTCAGGATAAAAGCAACCAAGCCGGATGGGACTCGTCGCTGTCTTACTTCCCTGGAAGTATACTCAAAAAGGAAAGGCAGGAGGGAAAGAGCTAAGAGCGGAAAAAAAGTGAGAAAGAACGGGCGCCGCGGTGCAGCAAGCAGGCGAGCCCCCGGCGGGAGAAAACGCGGGAGAGGGTTTGGGGCGAAGCGGGTTAACCCAGAAATCCTTGAAAGTGCATAAGCTTTGTCGCGGAATGAGCTTAGTTAGGGGCGAGTTACCCCGGCGGAGCGTAAAATACCGGGCGTAATAATGTCCGCTCCGTGGTGGCGGTCGCGTGGTGGCGCGATCTTCTCTTCCGTTCGCTACGTTTCGTCGCTCGCTGCAGCTCTTGCCACTTGTGGAGCATTCTTCCCGACGACGACGACGGCGTTACCGAACAGAGGAGTCGCGAACGGAAACGTTCGAAGTCGATCGTAAAACTCGCGCCCATGTCGGATGCTCGCTTCGCGGATCCGAGATGAGATTTTTCGCTGACGGCACGGAACGAAATGGGTCGGGGCGCGGCACGAGACGGGCTCAGCGCCGGCCGCGAGTTTCGCAGACGGCGACTCCGTGACTCTGCGATGTGCTAATGTGGAAATTTTCAATGCAGAAACGCGGCGCGATAAACGGCTGGCTGCTTCCAAGCTTTATGAAGTCGCGCGCCCGCCCGTCCGAGGTGTATTAAGCGTAGAGACGTTGAGGTTTTCAACGCGACGGCTTTTTCAACTTCGCCTCGCCACGTCAGCGTCACGTCTTGAATATTTTGAAGGATTAAACGCGAGTTTGCATATTTAACTGGCGAGTGTTTTATAATAATTCAGATCGTTTGACTTGTTTTCTCCTTCCTTCCTCCTCCCTTCTCTTTTTTCCTTTCTCAGAGACTATCTTTATCATAGCATTAAGATAAACGAAGATATTTCAAATCCGAGTATGTGTATGTGCGGAAGCGAAAGGCGAGAACACGTATATGAAAGCTGATTCATAAAAATACGCAAATTTGTGTGAGTGCAACATTTATTCGGTTACGTTCACTCGTGCTCAAATATCGATTTTATTTCTGTTTTCAGGTGGCGTGGATCCATGTGGGTCGTCAAATGTTGCTCACCGTTCACAAACACGTAGTTGTGAAAATACCCAGGTTTTCCGTATCGCACGACAATCAGAAGACTTGGTTGCTTCACATCAGTAGCGTGCAACAGGACGACCGGGGTTATTATATGTGCCAAGTAAACACTAACCCCATGATAAGTCAAGTGGGCTTTCTTCAAGTCGTTGGTAAGTATCGCGTCTCACTCTTTTAAGAATTGATAAAAATTCCCACGGCTAAATTACTCAAGACAAACGCGTGCTCCACATTAACCCCTTAACGAGCAAACCGAATTTCGTAAAAGTACTTAAACTGGCAAAGGATTTTCGAAAGTTATACAACGTAATTAAAATTTCGTTTGAAAGTTTTTGAGGTACTTATGAATATGAAGTAAAATTTTTCCAATTCAAAATAGTGAGCTCAATATGACGACTAAAATAATAATTCTATATTTTTTAAATTCACCACTGAAAAGGGAGACTTCAAAAGTCATTACACTTTTCAAAATTTTTGTAAAACTTAAAAAATTTTTTTCAATTTTAAATCCGCCATATTACATTTGCCATTTTAAATTTTAACGTTCATTATTGAATAAAATATATTTTTCTTTTGTTAAATCGTATAAAATGTATTCATGTAAATAATTTATCTTTATTTAATGCTATGTAATCGCATTTTTTAAATTTTATGCTGAAAATACAAATATTTTTAAAACAAGAATGTTTTTCTGTGTATAGGAGAAATAGTATTCATGTAAATATCACTTGTTTCAAGTACTTCATAAGAGTTTATATATCCACAAATCTATCCCAAGTTCATCATTAAGTTCAAATTAATTTTAAGTACATCCTAAATTCTAGTATGTTTAGCATTTCAAAAATATTAAATTAAAATAAAAATTATGTCTGTTTATTATATAGAATCAATTTTCCCTTTGGCGAATTTTTATAATATTCTTGTAAAGAGAATAAATTTTAATTTCAAGTACATGATAATAAGCTTTTCTAAAGTTTGTGATGAGCACATTTTAAAGTTATCAATAAAAAAATATTCTTTGTGTTGAAGATAATCATTACTTAAAAGAAGGAAAGTAAATTGAGTAATCGCTTTTATATTTTTCTGCGTGCACATTGATTACACGCGACGCATTGCATTCGATGAATGTTCGATGAAAAGAGAGCCGCACTATTCGTGTTGCAGTGCCACCGAACATATTAGACTCTCTTTCCACTGAGAGTACTGTAGCGGTTCGAGAGCACCAGAATATCACTCTTACATGTAAAGCCGATGGATATCCACCCCCAAAACTCATGTGGAAACGAGAGGACGGCCAAGGGATAAATATCAACAGACATCATAAAGGTGCGTTGAGTTTTGCGCTTTTTCCAACTTTAGTCCGATCATAACGCGAATACCCGTACAATGTCATGCGCGGCTCGTTCTCTTGACATTTCACGTCTATTTCAGTCGTTTCGATGAATAAGTTATAGTTGGACGGTCGATTCCGCATGAAATATCAATCTATCTTAGGAGCGGCTTTCTTTTTTTATAACCTGTTACCATTTTCCCGAAATAAATAATGTTTCCCCTGGAACAGTATTTCTAGCAACACTTAGTAAAAATTTTCTATACACATTGAGGGATAAAAGTATCTAAAAAATAAAAACAATCTTTAATAAAAACAATCTCGGTGGGAACTAATAATATATTTATTTAAATCAAAATTCTTTTATTTAAAGAAAATAAATCATTGCTATCATGGAAAGTTGTATTGAGAGAAAGGTTTTGTAATAATCATCAACTCTGTATAATAGTTAAATAATAGTCAAATACTTTGGTGGATTAATTTCAAAACTAGATGTTTTTAGGCGAATATATATACTATATATATTCGCCTAAAAATGTCTAGTTTTGAAATTATATATATAATTAATTAATTTGATATAAATATTAATAAATAATTTTAGCAAAATTTGATAACTGTTGCTAAGGCTTAATGTTTGTTGCAAAGATTATTATGTTGGTGACTATTATCAATTTATGTGATATATATCATCAAACAATTTGTTAAATAAAACTTATATTATTTATAAGATGACCAGATTTCCCAGCCCTGAATTCGGGACACTTCATAAATGTATGAAGCGGGGGGGAGGGGAATAAAAAGATCCGAAAAATATTTGACAATCATTGAAAATAATAACAAATCGGTGTCCCGAATAGCACTCAAAAAAATTCGGGATAAAAGGTGAAAAATCGGGACGTCTGGTCACCTTAATTGTTTAGCAATACTTATCACATTATATGTATAATAAATATACGAAATAACCAAATACTTTGGTAACAGTCAAATTATTTAATAATTAATTTACTAAACTACTTAATTAGTTCAGTTAAATTATTTGTTTTGTGATTATTTTGTAATTATTACCAAACAATAGGTAATTATTGCTATATTTAATACTAATTACTAAATATTGCACTGAAGTGTCAAACTAAATGCATTTGTTAACTATTACAAAATTGTTTTTCAATGTAAGTTTTATGAAAATATATGTTTTCTTATTTGAAAAAATATTTCATATTAGTGTAAGTGAATATGTTATTAATGATCGCCGAATAAATATTTTTTATTTCTTAGATTTTTTCTCTCAATGTAGTCAAAGGAATTAATAGGGGGTTAATTAATATCCAGAATATTAATATAATTGGATAAATGATCGCTTCGACATGAAAAGTAACTATCTCATAATGCCTCACATGTGTTAAAAGTTCGAAAAATAAGTCCGACAGATTATTGAACAATATTATCCTCCCGCTAAGATTAAAATTATCGCATTTAACATTCAGCTCTTATTAATCTTCAATTCCTTCCATTCTTACTGAAAACTTTACTTCATAAGAGTCTTCCACGTTTTTCTTTAACTTTATATTCAAGTGACATCTTCAACGTGCGAAACTGGCAATATACCACTATTGACCGACAATGCGCGCGAAAATTCCGGTCGAAATGCGCGAATTTGAGGCATTCGTCCCCCGCACACACTCGTACTTTTCGCGTACATTTTGTTACGCGCACCTCCGTTGCACTTTTACGATAGATATACACTTAACACTCGGCGAACTTCGTAACGACGTAACATCCTGCACCGAATTACACATTTGTTTCGTACGCGTCCGAAGAATTCGCCCCGTTTGCTCGTGTGAGAACTTAGAAAACGATTCTACGAGTTTTCTCTTACGATGTCCCAAGATCCCTTATCTACGTCGGCCGAAACTTTGAAGTACTTTTACAAGAGGAAACGGGCGTATTTGTAATGCAGCCGAAGTTCAGGACGGGAAGTAATTTTTGGCACGACGATACTCTCTCTCTGTCTCTTTCTCTCTCTCTGTCTCGCTCATGTCAGGCGGCCGCCGAGTCCCACGAGTCTGCCGAGTCTCTCCTATCGACGTCCCACGTTCACGGTGACGTATCGACGGACGTTTATCGAATCCGAGAAGATTCGAAGTATATTAATTATCAAGGTACTGCCCTTGATCGTGCCCTGTAAAATTCTTGGAGTGGAATCTCACTTCAAAACGAATAAAAAATGACAGTATTCCCGTTCGAAGCGATATTGAAAGTACTGTCATTCGAAACCGCAAGAGTGACTGTTTCACTCAAGCTTAAGGGCTATCGCACACAAATTGACATAACTGCATATGCATAGCATAAGACCGTATGTACCAATGAGCATCGAGTATTAAGTCGCCATATTGGTGTTCGATGCTTAATATTCGATGCTCATTAGTCCATACGATCTTATACTATGCATATGCAGTTATGTCAATTTGTGTGCGATAGCCCTAAGGGGATGTTGAAGCTGAAAACTTTACCGACAGAACACTGATATTTTTCTGCAAAGTTTACGTCGTATTGGTTACACAGAATTACAAATGCTTTTACGCAATGAAAGTACGTGCAAAAATAAATGGAAGCATTGCTCGATATGTGACGCAAACGAAAAAATCTTTAATGTAAAGCTGTCAGCGTAATATTTGTCTAATCCAAAAATTCCGCAGCTTGTATATATTGAAAGTGTGGATATTCCAAACAGAAAAATTTTGAAGAATATTGCTCTACCTTTGCATTTGCATTTGGAAGCTTAAAAATATCGAAAAAGTTTGCAGAAAGATTTCTACATATTATATATATGATTAGGTTTTCCGTTGAATATATAATAAAACAAAGCAACACACATGTAAGTTCATATAAGTACATTCATGTAAGTTCTGTATATACAAGAAATACGAAAAGGATAGCGTGATTATATTAGTGACGATCGTCTCTGCATTATCGACATTGTTCGAGTTTGTCATCGACTCCAGCATCCCCTTAAAGTCGATTTCGGCTGCATATGCGCGAATATTTTAATCGATAAAAGTGAATATGTTCCTGTAACGGTGAAATACATTGGATTCGTCCTTCAATCTCGAGTGAAAATATTCATTCAGAGTGCAGAATTTATTCTATATGAGTGAGAAATAACTCGAATTCAAGTGACTCGATAGTCACTTTATATCTCAAATAAAATTTCGCTTCAAGAAATTTAGAGAGTACTCTCTAAATTTCTTGGAGTGGAATCTCATTCAAAACGAGCGAAGAGTGACAATATTTTCGCTCAGATAATGTGAAAATATTGTCAACTTGAAATTGCAAGAGTGACTGTTTCACGTTCAAGCTTAGAGTGAATTCTGACTCTATACGAACGAATGTTTCAGTCGATTAAAGTGGATATTGTCCTGTGACAGTGAAGTATAGTCGCAAATCGGTTTGTACACTTTTTATCGGATGAAGTTGCAATGCTTCAACTTGTCAGAATTGAAAGTCACTGCTGACACGTACGCACGATAATCGATTGTGACAGGAGCCGAGGTGGCAGTACAGAATGTGATATTCGTGAAATTTGGAAACAAGATTTTTTTTCTTAATTAAAAGAATATTATTTTGAGAAGTAATTTTTTTATATGTTTATAATTGATTACTGTGCATGTCAGCAGTGGCTCTAAATTTTGACAACTTGATAAGCATTGTAAGTTTATTCGATAAAAAGTGTGCAAATCACAACTGACTATACGTTGAATTCACTTTTCAATCTCGAGTGAAAATATCCACACAGCAATTCAGGACGGAGTATTCGCTCTGCAGAACGAAAAATCCCTCGAATTCGAGTGACTCGGTGGTCAGTCTGTTACCCGAGTGAAATGTTGTTCCAAGAAATTCAGAGAGCACGCGCACGACAAGTCTGATGGAGAATGTGTCAGAGGAAGCACGCAGAATAAGCCGGGAAAAGCCCGAACATCTTATCAATTTAACACAATTTCGCGCATTTCTCTGATAATCCGATTTACGGAAAGTTCGCCGGTCCGATTCGGTGCGCGCGGAGATCGCACGTAAGTACGTAGATGCAGACGCAGATTTGGCGCGAGGAACATCCAGACGGATATTTAGTTGTTCAACGAAAGCGGCTGTGTATTATTTAGCCGCGTGAGTTTATAAACCTTCTCGCAACGGGAGCTTCGACGGCGACGGTGGCGGCGTCGCATTATGCAACACTCAAACGTTCCCAATCCCGGGATACGTTTTGAATAAATAAATAAATAAATACGCGGCGAAAATAAATATTTAACGTGGGTAATCATAAAGTGATTATGCGTCGCTGCCTCGCGCATCCTCCGCCTCCCTCCCCCCTCCCGCCTTTCGTTGTCGTGTTTACCGACTTCATTCCGGATAAATGGAGATTCGAGTTATAAGGCCTATACGCCAAACTGTTGGTGCCTCGCTTTTCACATGCGTTTGTTTTTCCAAGTCTCTTATGTAAACAGTCACCGTGTGCCAACCGCACGAGATAAAGTTGGTAGACGCAAAAGAAAACATATGGTCCGCATATAACCGGAAATATATTTAGTTGTGAGCAGCATAGTTGTATCATCCTAGTTGTCGTTGAATCGACTTATTTCAAAAACATGTCTAGGGAGTGAAATCAGGCCCCGAAGTTAGGCCACAATTTTTTGTTAATTATATGAGGGTAAACCATATCCCTATCAAACATTAAAACTTTTGTAAAAGTCACACAATAATAATCTTGCATAAAATATATATCTTGCAAACTTCATTAAAAGAAATATTTTGTTTCATTCAAGTCGCGGACAACGGTTTCTATAGCAAACTATAAAATAAATCGATTACACCCCTAACTTCGGGATCTGATTTCAGCCCTCGAAAAGACATGTTTCCCCGCCGATAACGTAAAATATTTCTTATTTTTCCATACTCTATAACATATTAAAGGGATATCCGATTCGGGACAGCAAGGTATCTT